TTCCATGGTTCACAAATTTACAGTAAATTTTATGTCAGGACAATATGAACTATCGTTAAATCCAAGCAGTTCTGAACAATGCAATTCTGAACATGTTCATTGCATACCTAAAATGCATTTAGTTTGGAACCAAATCTTGTCCTATCTTTTGTTTTTTCTTACGAATTTTAATGCTTATATATGAAAATACAAACACCTGTGGATATTTTTATGTCCTAACGTACGTGGCATAAAAAGTGTATTGTTTTTCGAGTGCACGTATATCTTACATTAAGTAAGATATAAGCAGATCTAGAGAAGTTCTAATGAGGGGGCATTGCTTCATATTAAAATATTAAGGTAACAGTCATCAGGGTTATTTGCAGAGGTAGTGCCCCTTTTTTTTTTTCTTTATTTTACATCTTAGTGTCGAGCGTATACCTGGTGTTATTAACATGTAAAGACAATATAGTATCTTCTATGCAGGTGTTTCTGTTGGAACAGCCGAAAAATGTAGAATGAAGACAATGGAGTGGTTTGTGGTTGGCACACTTCTTGTGAGAAACAGTGGGCTGATGCTAAGAGAGAAGGACCATTCATTAAAAAGGGTGTTAAGTTTCAGTGGGTCACTTTTCCATTGATTCTTTAGATTCAGGAGGTATTTCTAAGTTCTCTAAATTTGTGGATTTTGATTCATCACACTTGTAAATAACTAGACTCCAACCCTGCTTTGCAGGTGTTGAGGTTAGAAGTCAAAATGAATTATTTCCTCAGAAATTCTATCGTGTTAGTCAGTAGATCTTTAGAATAAATTCCTTAGGATAAAGTTGTATTTAATGTCAGCTTCCTAAGAAGACTGCATTCTACCCCACAGATGCAGAGGTTTTCTTTAGTGTGCAAGTGTGGTGGTTTTGCTTCCTTCTGGGGACCTAGTGTAAGGTGTCTGCTGTGACTCCTGCAATCTGTTGTGGATCATGAGTCATACAGTATTTTTGGCCTGTGTTTCTCGAAGAAGGTGGGAATAGATCAGTAATAATGGAAGTATATAGGAATTAAACTACACACTACTTCTGATTAATAAGCTTGTAAGGGTTGTTTTGTAGGGGAAGGATCTTACTTTGCAACATTTAAATATCATCTGGTTACTGTTTGGTTGTGAAGTAGCTTACATGCCATATTTGAGGCCATCTATGTGTGTTTTTTAAAATGTCATCTGTATTCATATTACATTCAAGTACCAAGAAACAGTTTCTTTCAAGACCTTCTACCAGTATGTGGCATATAAGTCTGTGACAAGTGGTATTGCAGAAGGTCATGTCAGTTTTAACTGGTTGCATTAGGTCTTTCTGATTTCCCCGGTGCCCTTCCTTTGTTTGATTAATATTACTTGATTTCAAGCAAGGTATCAGAAGGCATAATTTAGATTGAATATTCTCAGGGCAATCTAAGATTTTTACCATAGAACTTTTATTCAAATAAATCTAGCATTTTGTTTTGTCTTCATATGCTTTTTCTTGTTCCCCCTCTCTCTCCTCTCACTCCTTCCCCATCTCCTCCCTCCCTCCATTATACCTCCTCCACCTACAGTGGTTGACACAGACATCCAAGTAACTACTGTGTTCCTTTAAAACAGAGGGGCACATGTGCACTTTATTTGAATAGAATAGAAGCAGAATCAAGGCAGAAAAAATTCCATTTTGGGTTTTTTTCCTACTGCATTCTTACTATAATGTTAAAGTGAAATCTGTGTTCAGATCCACCGTACCTCTCTTCAACATCCTCGCTTCGTTCTGCAGAGGTAGGCTGTACTTCAGTATACAGGTTTTGTAAGGCTTCGGGGTGTTTCTTCCTATGTCGTAAGACTCACCTCACCTTATGTAAGAATCTACTTACCTTTTTTAATTTGTGGCAAAGTTCTGAAAACACTTGTTTTGGTGGTTTAATGAATTGTAGTACTGTGTCTGTATTGTCTCCATGTTCATGTGTATTGGGTTTTGCACTTTCTACTCTTCCTTCTGAATTTCAAGACACATGAAAGCATGGGCTATATATGATGTTTCATACACTTCAAAAAATTATTTATAAATCTTGGGCATGGGTGCACTTTCACTACATTTTATTTTGCTACAATAACTAAATTCTGTTTTTCTTTCCAAATAGTACAGTACTCCAGATCTCAATGTAATTGATGATATGACTAACCTAGAACAAGACTATAAACTTGGTAGTGACTTTTGAATTAAAAAATTGAATTGAAGAGCTAGAAATCTGGGCTTAGTCTTATACTTCAAGTAATTTCAAAGGAATTTTTATGCTGTTTGAATACGTTAACATTTTGCCACCCTATAGAAGCTTGTAAAGTAGTTTGAGATCATTAGGTGTGGAAGAAAAAAAACAACTGAGTCTAAAGTAGTATTATCCAGATAATTTAGAGTAGGTATTGTCATGCAAGTGATTTCTCTGACATCATTTGAAATAATTTTAAAGATTTCCAATTCAACTGATTGTCTTATTGCTAACTTTAATGCTAATGGGAGATAGGCATTTGGCTATTCAACCCTGTCAAGACAAGGAATTTCTGGATGTACATAAAAGAGATCTTTAAGTGTTTGGGGAATATTGAAAAGTTGAAAAGTAAGAGACTTAGTGAGTTTAGTCAGCTCCAGGCAGTAGGGAGTAGTTTTATACCTTGGACTTTAGTCAAATACTGATGGAGTTAAGTGGGTTTTTTGCATGTGGTAAAACTGACTTAAGAGGTTTTCCATCTTGCTGCAGCCTTCAACAGTTTGTTTTCATCCTCTCTATTCAGTTCACCATTTTACTGGTAGAGCTGGTGGAGTGTTTCTGGAGCTGCTTAGTAAACTGGGTCACTGCATTAAAAGTTTGAGATGCAGTTTTTTGAAGAATTCTGCCCAGTGATGCAGTTTATGGCTCAGCTCCCCAGAGGCTTGGAACAGGCCAGGGAAGATGACAGTGAGCTACCAGGAAAGGGACAAGAAGGTGATGTAGGCGCATGCGAAACAGTGTACTGATCTAAGCAGGTGCCGACACTCATTTCAGCAATGTGCTCTCAACATTTCCCTGTGACCAAAACTCTCTTGTCACTGTTTCTGATCCCCTTTTTTTGAGCGATGGAGCAGACCTGGCCTAAAATGCCAACAAAGAACAAGAGGGAAACTTCTTTATGGATAGTGGCAAGAGCACAGCCTGGATTCTTCTTCAGCCTGAGGGGACTCAGAAGTACACCTGCCTGTCTGGCGTCAGGTCAGAGGCTACAGAAAGTTTAGTCAGTCAGGCTCCTCCTGCTAAAATTTTTGTCCTGGGCAGGAAGGAATTCAAGAGTATTTCCTTAATTGCTCAGGTCATGCTTCCTCCTCGTACTTTTCGATGTCATCACTTTCTATGGTTGCTTTGTGCTTCTGGTTTTATCTTTGATTGTAAACTCCAGGACAGAGCAGGCGGTAGACAGAACTAGATACTCCTTTGTTGTTAGAGGTGTTTTGGAACAGAGTTCAAACAAGGAGGAGCAGTTGAAACTGGAAATGTTTTGAACTGTGCAGTTGACTTGCCTGTATGCACAGTGCTCTACTAGATGTGCACATTACATCAAACCGTGCGTGTTTAATGTTTTGCCTGGGCCCACATAACGTGACTAACTGCGACTTTCCTAATGTTTGAGCTAACTGAGACAGGAAACCGATACACACACTTTTATTTTTCCAGTCTTCTCTTCCCCGAATTTGACTCTTAGATAATGTAAAAGTCCCTTAAGTTCTTGGACATGGATTTGGGAATATCCTTACAGCTGTGTTTGGGGGCTGATTGTGAAATTGTAATTTTAATATGTTGTCTTAAATGACAAGTACACTAAAATTGTTTATAGCATCCCCTATATCACATAGTAAACTACCATTTTAGTTGGCAGCAAGTCTGTAAAATAGGCCAAATTATTATTGTTTCATATCAGTGAGTTTTTCCTTCTCTTTTCCTCTGTGTGCATGTTTTATAATATGTATACAATTTTTGCATTCATAATAGGACACTTGGCTAGATGGATCTTTGTTGACCTTTGTTATGGCTCTTCTTATATTCTAATACGTACTTAGATTAAATAAAGATCTGAAGAGGCACATTATTTTCTGGTTATAAGGAGGTACAGCTTTTTTTCATTCCACCAACAGAGAATTTTCCTCTTAAGGTCATCGATCACAGTGTCATGAGGGAGGGATTTTTGAGTTTTAAGTCTGAATCTGCTACTGCCCATCTTTGGAAAGTCATTTAATCTCTGTAAACTAGATTTAGTGGTTCATTTCGTGCTCATGGTGTGATGAATAATTATAATATTTGTAGAATGAATTGAGTGTGTATATGTATATTTCCCAGTGCTAGACTGAAAAACTTATTGTGGAAAATTACACAGACACAGATAAATGGCAGCTGCAGCTAGCAATGAATGTGCATAAAGTTAAATGCACAGATTGTATAAAATTACTATTAAGAAACACAGTGCTAATGCTGATAGAGCATATGGCATATATCATTGTTGAAGATTATGAGGAGATAAGCTACTACGAATTTATTCCCAGCTTTGTATTCTTCAAAAATCTCTTGGTGAATACTGTAAATTCTATTAAAAATGTTGCACTTTTATGTAGGTAACAGTAAATTTGAGGTTTGCATATGTGTGTGCTGCATAGGCACCAGTGGAGCTGACAAAGGATTCCTTTAATTAAAGCAAGCATATACTGAATTTTGAACTACCTTTTAAATACTTAAATTGTCAAGCAAGCATTTTGTGCAGGAAGGATTTTCAGTATATAATTCCCTAATGTAGGTCAATTAAAGCTATAATGCTTTCCTAAATTTGAATCTCTAGATCAAGTGTTTTTTCCTAGTTGTACATTTTCCCTCTGCATTTATTTCAAGTGTTAATAAAGTTTTCATCTACAAAAGGCTTAGAATTGACAGAACAAAACTCTTCCTTTTTAAATCATGACAACTACTACTGTTTCTGTCTGCAGGTAGTGGAGGACATGCTAGAGGACGAGGAAGAAGAGGATGACAGAGATGACAAGGTAATTATGTTTCCTAGCACTTGGGTATCTGGGGATGGGAGAATTTAGACATGACACTGTTTTTACCGACAGTTAAAAAAGGAGCTGAAGTGTTTTAGTCCAGAAAATTGGACAGATCTGTTTATCATCCTAATAATGCTACTGTGTGTTGCAGGAAAGGATAGAGATCTATAAATCCTGCCTTTTTTTTTTCTTTCTTTCTTTTTTTCTTTTTTTTTTTTTTTCCCAGTCCAGAGCTGGGTCAAATATTTTTTCTGCCAGGAACAAAAATAATTCAGCATGTCTGGAACTTGATAGCTCTTGTGAAGATAACTGCAGTAACGACTGTTTTTGAAGGACAAAAATTCCTCCTGTCTTGAATATTACAAATAGGGCTGCACTTCAGGTGAAAAATGGTGTGGAAATAGCAACTCCATACTGGTTAAAGTTGGAATATTGACATCTAAGATTTTAAAAGAATTACTTGGTTGGAGAATGCCTTAAATGTTTTGCACTCCATATGACATTCAAATAATCACAATTCTCCTAGATATCCACTTGATTTGAAGTTTGCATTGTGGCCCTGCAAGGTGGAAAACTGTGGCGGATCATTCAGCTATTTGAGTGGACGCGGTTCAGTTTAAAGGCTGATGATTGGGTTGAGGATTACAACCACAGTGAATAACAGCTGATTTCCACATTTAGCCCAGCTATCAGACTGCTTGGATTGGTTGTCCCCCAGGGAGGGGGAAAAAACAGAGAAAAGAAATTAGAATGACCTTGCACCACTGAAGCAATGGCTAGTACTGGCAGGATGGCTTTCTGGTGAGACAAGCGCAGGGAAGACAGCCCCTTTGTTGCTGGTATTTTCATATCAGAAAGGTGGTATTTGTGGAAGAAACGAAAAAGATAGTTTTACGACAACTTTGTATTAAAATTCAGATTATTTTGACCTTCACAGATGTTTCCCCCACTTCTCTTGTAGTAAAGCAATTTTTTTTTTTCTGAGAGGAGAAAAACAGTGTATTTATGTTCTTGACCTTTTTTTCTGGCTGAGATATACATTTATATGAAAAATATAAGAATTCATATGCTGGCAGCAGCATTTGAAATGTCAGAAAATTCACCATGATTAGTTAATACCCTGAATGATTATTTTTCTGTTAGCTAACACCTAAAATGTGAGAAATTATTTTAAAAAAGATTATTTTGCTTGTTCCATTGCCAGGTCAAACATTTTAAAATTGACAGAAAGCTATTTTGTGAAATTCTTCTATGCGCCACTTAAATTGTTAGCTACATAATTTCAGAATGAGCAAACATTGTAATAACAAAACCTTCTTTTACAAAACACATATGTGACGGTTTTTAACATTAAATGATATGAGCATCCACTTCTGGCAATAAAATACATGATTTATTGCAAGGGTCCATCATGTAGCTGTGAAGAGCTTCTATTTTATCTCAACATACTGGCTTTGAATCATCATTTGTTTTCAGATCAACACTGATCTGCCATCCATTTGAGACCATTTTCTCCTGTTTCTTCCTGCCTTATTATTAGAGCAGATGTAAATGTATTATACTAGTAGTGTGTGTATTCCTGTATATTTTGATCACTGCGATTAGTTCAGAAAGAACAGTGCTTGACTGCTTGTAGTTTAAGCCAGCCTATGTAGTTAGTGCTTAGTGGATTTTGGAAATTGCTAAACAAACTCCTTTAAAGGGGAAGGTGAGGGCGTGGGTCAGCCCTCACTCCCCCCAATTCTCTGGTGATTAGCAAACGCCAGGCAAAACATACCTAATTAGAAATATCACTCTAGGTTTCAGTGTTGTGATCTAATATTCAGCTTTCTCAAATTGACACTAGAGTTCAAACATTCTTCTAGATCTAGTTACCAAGGTTGAATAAAAGTGAGTACTGACATTACCGTGTGTGTTCAGTGAGCCCTTTTATTGAATATTTAAGAGCTGTCTTTCTATACAGAAGGTGTTAAGGTTGATTTTTATAAATTCAAAGCTGTCTTCGTTACTGCAAATGTTTTGAGCTCTCAAGATTGAATATGCTGTTTGAATGGAAAAAAACCTTACACTTTTTAAAATAAGTGTATGTGGACTACTGCATATATTCAGTATGTTTGCAGTGTGAGTTATTTTGCACTAGGGTTGTAAATTATAAGCACATGGTTAGGACTGAATTGTTTGTCATTCAAAGCTAGTACAGGACTGGTTTTTCCTTTTTGATGTCCTAGACATATACTACTCTTCCTGTTACATATTTTTGGCTAAATGGAAGGGTGCACATTTGTGTTATTTTAGTTCATGTATGCGTTTTTTTAAAGCTATGTGCAAAATGAAGTTTCTTGGGAAAACAAATGCAAATTTTGTAACACCACCTGATCATGGCCTCCGGCTTTTATCATTTCTCTTGTTTTGTTTTCATATGGCATAATAGCAGACTCAGGAAAATGGGTCTTCTAATGCAAAGAAAGTTACAAGAATAATAAATATGCCAGAACCTCACTTTAATTGAAACTGAAGCGTATGATGCAAATATGTAAAATATGTCCCAGCTGTTTGACCATGGCCAGTGTCTTCACTCCCTGATTACCACAAGGCACTTGTTAGTCCTGTAACCATTGGACTTAACAATAAACGGGACATTACAGAGAACAGGAGCACCTGTTTTCCCTTTAGTAAGGACTCCTTGCAGGCTTTACCTAAACCTGTCCATATGTTTCACTTTGCAGATTGCTGTAGGATTATGAAAAGTGTCTTTCTTTAGACCTGACTTGGATAGCAGTGAGTTGCTCACAGTGAAAGGGTAACTCTAGCTACTTGATGAGGTCAGCATGGGCATGCGCTGATGTAGGCTATGTGTAATGGAGGGGCATTGCTCAACATCCCAAAACTGCAGAGTTACAGAAGTAATAAACTAAGGATGATGACTGTTTAAGTGAATGTAATTAGTTAATGTAATGTATTTTATTAGTAATAATGTGGAATACTGAGAGGAGTTTGACAAGGTAGATTTGCACTTACCATGTTACTTAGTCTCATTCTAATGTTCTGGATTTTAGTAACTTCTTTTACCCTCTGCTGCAATTAAGGTAGGGTGGACAAGGTTGTCAATTTAAGGTCAGAGGATGTGGGTTTTTTTCTGGAGAATCTGAACTTTCATCTTCACTTGCAATATCAATAGTAAACTAAAATGACAGGTATGTTTCTTGTATCAGTTACAAAGTGGTGCTTAGCAGTGGAACCCTTTTTTCCTAATATTACTCCTTTGTCATGTGGCCGCTGAGAGAATATTTAGGAATTGAAAGAGATGTAGTTTGTTTGGCTCAGGCATTTGTCTATTATTTAATACTAGTTTTTCCAAGAAATAGTATCGCATTCTGTATGTTCTGTAATGCTTGCTAAGCCTATGCCAACCCCAGATTTACAGTTTAATCTGATTTCTCTCTCTTTCTTCTTTTTTTCTTTTGGCTCCTTTCCAAACACTGGTTTATACAGTATCTTAGCAAATAGGGCTCAGTTACATTACGTTAAATCAATAAGCTATCAGAAAGATTTTTGCACAGTTATGTTATAATAACATAGTGGTCAATATACGTAATCTATGTATCTAAGATTTTAGTTTGTCATTTTAGAAGTTCACATGTGCTTTTCACATAGCTTTATTCTTTGAACAAGCTCCAGGTAAGATATCAGATAATCACAAAGAATTTAAGCTCAGCATTTTGCAGGAAGCCCTCAGTGTGCCACAGAATCAGGCCAGTGGTAACTGCTACTATTGCAGACTTAAGTGGAGAAAGATGCATGATATGAACACTATTTTATTTTGCCTTTTTATTAACAATAGCCATATTTTATTAATAAAAAATATTCAAATCATTTGCACCTTTGACTACTCTCTCTCTAGGCTTTCATTCTTTGAAAAATTCTTTGCAGTTCTCAGTCAGTGTTATTGTACTTCAAGATAAATATAAGCTTTTGTAATGAATGATAGTTGAGTCAAATTAAAATATGTTTTAAAGCTTTTAATCATTGCTTCTGAGAGGTATTATATTGTTCTCAAGCCAAGACAAGTTTGCAACCTGTCTCAGAAGCATGCCCTGTATTTTTACTGAGAGTAGATCATGAAGAGGAGGAAGGATAACCCTGATGTAGCCTACATTTTTTGTATTCCATAAAAGAGAAGATGGTGATCTATTGTAGTGGTAGTTATTTCCTATAAAATATGTGGTTGAAAAATTATATTAAGAAATAGAGAGTGAATGGAGTCAAACTTCTCAATGCAGTTTTGTTTCAGCTCAGTTTAGTTACTCATGTAGAGATAGTCGTAAGAGGTGTGTATTTTTTATAAAAATTTTACTTAATAGGAGAACTGGTGGTGTAGAATGCTTCAGCCCATACTCTGGAATACTAGCTGATGCTTGGTTTAATCATTGGATCACGCCCAAATCACAGCCATGGAGTTACTTTCACTTGGATATACCTTGGATCATGTGGAGCCTTTGCACAGCAACTTCCACAAAAAGCAGTTTTCTTCCTGCCCTGTACTAGGACATCATAAGGGCTTCATCATCAGTGTAAGATGTACCTTTGGAAACAGGTAATTTGGACAGCCTTTGAGAGGTTTAATTTTAATGAGATCAGGTTTCTTTGTCCTGGTACAGTCCTGAAATACTTCCAAAATTACTGAGGTAAAATAAGTATTAATGAGATCAGAATCTGATATTTATATCTGAAGTTTTGCACTTCAGGAGGTGTGTGCATATCAGAGATAGTCCCTGGGGGGCCATAAATGAAATATGCTTATCCATGTACGTGGTGTTTTTCAGCTGTGACCAAGTAGTGTGGGAGATGTTTCTCATTTATGAAGCAATCCAAGTGTAATTCAATAAATTATTTTATAAAATGAATAATATGCTTTAGTTATGGTAGATGTTTAAGAATGTGACATAGTTTTGCCCTACATTTTCCCTCTACCCTTAATATTATTTCTTAATGTAACT